TCAATAGCCTGTGTGGCTCATGCTTCAATAGCCTGTGTGGCTCATGCCTCCAATAGGGGGTTTCTTTTGCGCAAGTTTACAACTGCCAGAGCAAGGGCTCTTTCAGTGGCCAAGACATTGTATACAATAAACATCTTCACCTGTTTTTGGCAAGCACCAAGCAGCAGCAGTTCATGTGGAAAACATGTGCACACTTGGTGACCACAACATCTTTTTTTAGCAGCCATGGACCCAGAGTTGAAAAAGGCATTGCTGGCCTTGAGGGATGACTCTGTCATGGCCATAAACAAGAAAGCCAACCAGATGATGCAGAGGCTAAAGGAAGCCAACCTGATGTGGGAACAAGTGATTCCCCCTATGCAGATGCTAGTTCATCCAGCCAACCGCTCAGGCCAAATGTTGAATTGCCATGATGCCCACAGCAAAGGGGCCATGGTGTTGACTATAGGCTGCTGCCCTGAAAAGCTGCATGGGCCCCTGTGCAAAAATCTATATAGTGGCAAGGCTTTCACTGCACTACATAGCCAAGAGGGCTCATGCATTCATAGTGGCTCAGTCATTCAATGCACATCCATGTGCCTGCACACATAGCGACAAATGTCCAACCATCAAAGTCCATACATTCATGGGCCACCATGCCCTTGCAGTCCTACTAGCCATCAAGGCTCACGCATTCAAAAGCCATCATGGCTCATGGGGTGATTAGCCACCAAGGCTCATGCATTCATTAGCCAGCATGGCTCATGCAGTGATCAGCCACCAAGGCTCAAGCATTCATTAGCCATCATGGCTCATGCAGTGATTGTTCATCAAGGCTCAAGCATTCATTAGCCAACATGGCTCATGCAGTGATCAGCCACCAAGGCTCATGGAATTGTACTTTGTTTTGTGTTGAAAGTAGCCCTTGGGCCCATGGTGGGCCCAAAGCATGCAGCTGATTCAGCAAAACACTGTCAAAAACATGCAAGCATAGTGGTTGCTGCAGCCAGCCTGCTTGCAGCCTCAAGGTGTAGTGTCTGCTTTTTTACACAGTGACTGCGTTGCAGCCATGGTCTCAATCAAAGAGAAACTTGTGATCTCTTACGATGGAAGCCCTGAATGCACTATTCCAAGCAATCTAGTCACCAAGTTGGAGGATGGAGACCAAAAATTTCTGAAGCTGAGGCCTTCCTCAGTGGCTTTAGCACAAGTGATTTGTGGAGGTTGTTCAATGAAGAACCCCACTTTCACTCATAGCCCCAGGCTCAAAGAGCTGAAGGATAAATTGGATCAGGCCTTGCTGCAGGCATCTGCAGAACAACATTCTCCTGATGATGATGGGCCAGAACTGTTTGGTGGGCAAGTGCCCTCCAACAGTCTCACTGGACTTGGGTGGTTGCCAGATCACTTGCCTCACTCCATCCTCTGGCAAGGCAACAGATGTAGCTGTTGCCTTGGAGGAAAGGCAGCTGGAAGCTGTATTTGCATACCTGAAGGAGGATTGCGCGACCCTACATGAAGACAAGAAAAGGAATTACAACAAAACTGGGTCCTATGCCAAGAGGCCAAGAACTGATGCCTCCAGCAATAGCTAGATGTTCCATGCTCAATGTGGCAAAAACTGCTTTGTAAGTCCAAGCTGAAAAATGTTTGGCTGTTGTGTCCAACTGCTTGCCATGTTTTTTTGAATTGCCATCAGGGCTCATGCATTCAGTAGCCACCAAGGCTCATGCATACAATAGCAATCCATGCTCATGCACTCGTTAGCAACTAAAGGCTCATGCATACCATAGCAACCAATGCTCGTGCATTCATTAGCCACCAAGGCTCATGCATACTGCAGCATTCGATGCTCATGCATTCACTAGCCTTTCAGGCTCTTGCAATCACTAGCAACCACTGCTCACCAGTGATCTATAGCAGTATAAGGCTCATGCAGCTATTGGTAAGTTCAATTATTTACACACTACTAGGTGCCAAGGTGTATGCACTCTTGTCTCTTATGGGAAAGTTCTTATCCCAGCAGACTTTGGCCCAATGAAGCGGTCAAGGCAGGATGATGACCAAGGCTGGTCTTCCAAACACTGGAGGTCCAGCTCTTGGTGGGGAGGTTGGTGGGGTCCAAGCCCATGGAGCTGGCAACACTGGCAATGGTGGCCAGACTGGGCAGAGTGGAAGATGTAGAAGAGGAAGAAGAAGATAAAGAAGATGGTGGAGATGAAGCCACCAAAAAAGATGAGAAGGAGGCTTCACAGAGTAGTGGCAAAGAGCTAGATGGCCAAGAGGCCTTGAAAAGTGAAGCCACAGGAGTGAAAGATGAAGATCACCAAAAGGAGCTGGAGACCAAAGAAGAACATGGCCAAGAGGCCCCAGAAATGAAACCAGATGATAGCCAGGAGGCCACAAAAGTTGAAGAGCTCGATGGCCACAAGGATGGTTCAGTCAAAGGTGGTGAAGTCCCACCAGCAGAAGGGAATGTTGATGATTATTTGGATGATATGTGGAAGCGCCATGGCATATCTATGCCTGAAGAGGAAAATCAAGAAGATGAAAGTACAAAAGATGCAGAACCTGCTCTCTTGCCAGATTGGCAGCTCCATTTGACAGACTACTTGCTGAGGCCATCAGAGTCTTGGACAGCTACTTGTCTACATTGTCCACATTGAGCAGAGTTTGTTTCATGTGAGCAATGTGTTCAAGATGTAAATGTTGATGTTTCCAACCAAAATGGGTTAGAGGGGTATTGTTTTTTCCTGAGGCTGCAGACTGTGAAGAGATCTACAAACAGCTGCAGACTGCAATGGAGGCTGTCAACCTGCAGGCGCAGTTTCTTGGTGGACCACCTGGTGAGGGTGAACCACCTGGTGAAGGTGGACCACCTGGTGTGGAGGCAGCAGAGGAGCATGTATTCGACCAGCGTGGACTTGATGAAGTTGAGGATGGGCCACCTCTGGTGACTTTGGAAGGAGGTGGTATGCACCTTGCAAATGATCCTGTATGGAGTGTGTCTGAGGGCTCTGTCAATGATGGTGCTGGCTCAGCTCATGATGGTGCTGGCTCACCTCATCATGGTGCTGGTTCAGCTCAATATGGTGCTGGTTCAGCTCAAGCTCCTGGCAATGATCTGCTGACCTTTGGCCACTTAGCACCTCCAAGAGGAGGGTGGATGTGCAAGGTGGTGCCTTTGCTGGTGGCTATCAAGATGATGCACAATCAGAGGGTGTGGTCGATTGCGCAAAGGCTGTCAAACCATGTGGCCATCAAGGACTATGTGAAGGACCACCACCTCACTATGATCCACAGGGGCTATGACTCCAGGTACTACACCCACTGAGGTGATTTGAGAAGATATAAAAATAGAGCTGCTGTCTTGAGATGTGTTCAGTATCAATAGCCTTTGATGGCTCATTCTTGCAAAGCCTTTGTGGCTCATTGGCTAGGTTTCAGTAGCATTGGATTGCCTATTCTTTATTAGCCAAATTGGCTCATTGTCAATGGCCTTTCATGGCTCATTTCTCTTTAGGAGTCATTGCTCATTCTCAGTAGCCTTTGATGGCTCATTCTAAATGAATGTTTCTATATGGATATATATCTTATAGAATTGGTTTGTTTGTGATTGTATTTTGTTACGCTTTGTGTTATTTTCATTGTTCACCAATAGCTATTTGAAATTAAAAACAATTTCTTGGAAGACAACAACTCATTGACCCAGGAGGATCAGTCAATATAATTGTTGAAGTATTATTTGAATGCTCTAAATTTTGAATTCAGTTGATGAATTCAAGGCTGAAATTTTGAATTCATTGGCTGAATTCAAATTTGAAGGCTCTAAGTCTTGAATTTAGTGGCTGAATTTAAATTTGAAGACTATAAATTTTGAATTCAGTGGCTGAATTCAAAATTGAAGGCTCTAAATTTTGAATTCAGTGGCTGAATTCAAATTTGAAGGCTCTAAATTTTGAATTCAGTGGCTGAATTCAAATTTGAAGGCTCTAAATTTTGAATTCAGTGGCTGAATTCAAATTTTAATATTCTATAATTTGAATTCAGTGGCTGAATTCAAATTTTAATATTCTATAATTTGAATTCAGTGGCTGAATTCAAATTTCCAAGCCCTATAAATTGAATTCAGTGGCTGAATTCAAATTTTCAAGCCTTATAATTTGAATTCAGTGGTTGAATTCAATTGCATCAGCCTCATATTTTGAATCCAGTGGCTGAATTCAAGCCTTATCTGTTGAATCCAATGAGAATTTTTTATTTTGTTCCTTATATATTTTTTTGATTTTTGTGATTTAATTCAATTTTGAAGGCTAAATATTTTAAGCATTTGTAATTGAAAATCAGTATTATATTAAACTATTTAAGTTCAAATTAGAAACACTAAGTCTTAACTATATAAAAAGAATATAACTATAGATCAAAGCTCACAGGTGTGACCTTTACAAAAACAGTTCTTGCTGAAACTTGAGCAGTTCAAACTAAATGAATACATATGTGGTTGTTTTGTTATTTTTCTCAATAGCCTATTTAGCATGTTGATAAGACATTGTACATTGTGTACACATATGAGTTTTGTTCAGTACGCTTCTTATGTAGCAGCTTCTGTTGCTCAATCAGTGTCCATTCAACAGTGATGGCTGGAGTCGATCTGATTGACAATGTGGAGTATAGGAATGACTCCATTGTGTTGACCTTCGAGCATGGTCAGAAGCAAGAGCACTTTGCTTGCCATTAGATGTGTTTGAAAATGTTTTGCTGCTACAGGTGCCATTGTTTTTGGTGAATTTGTCTTCCACCTGGCCACCCAGGTATCTTCTGGATGAAGAGACCTCCTGGGACGACATTGAGAGATCTTCATGGATCTATGCGCAGCACACTTGGTGGAGAGTAGCCTTTCACAAAGGAGGCTGGCAACATTGGCTCCTTGTAAGCATTCAAAAGTTCTATTTGTTGGTGTTTGTGATGGCACTGGTTGATATTTCATTGTGAATGTGTGAACATCATTTTGGCAACCATTTGTCATGGCCCAGGAGGACCAGAAGAGATCTGAGCAGTGCACTGTGCTGCCAAGGTATGTCAACAAATCCTTGGAAGACAGGAATTGTGAGGCAACTGTTTTCACCTTGGCACCAATGGTTGCCAAAACACAACTGACTGACTTGGTGAAAATCATGTGTTGCTTTTTCTTGTTGCTTGCATTTGCTGCGCTTACTGTAGTGTTTCCTTTTAAGCCCAGATGGAGCTCCTGTCAAAAAGTTTTGAGGACCATTGTAAAGCACAGAAGCAGCCCATTCTGTCACTAGCCTTCAAGGCTCATTCATTCTGTCCTTATAGCTCTTTTGAAGCTCATTCTGCCATAGCCCTTGGGGCTCATGCTTTCTAGCCCATTGAGGCTCATGCATTCTAGCTCTTGAAGCTCATTCTGCCAATCTCCCTGGGCTCATGCTTTATAGCCACTTGAGGCTCATGCTTTCTAGCTCTTGAAGCTCAGTCTGCCAATAGCATTGGTCATGTAGTTCAGTTCTTCTCATCTTCTCACCCATCAACTCAATTGTTGCTGTAGAACAAAGGCCTTAGTCTGTGCACACATGTGGGCTGCCAACTGTGTGGTGGAGGAACTCCAAGCAGCAGAAAAACTTTTGGATGTCAGAGGGCATCAAGGCCCATTAGCAACACAGCTGCTCAATGGCTTGGTGAGCAAGATACAAGGCGTCCAAAATCCTTCAGCAGCAGACTTGGTGATGCTCTTTGAAGCAATTAATGCATCCAAGATGCCTGCTCATGTCAAAGAGAAGCTTGGTGACAGTTTGGATGCAGCTTCAGCTCAGGGACTCACAGCTGTAAAACCACTGTCCAACCACAGCAGCTGTGCAACATCACAGCCTACATCACCCAATCTGATTGGGATGCATTAGAAAGTCAGAGCATGTGGGCAGGTACAGTGACAGTTGCCACTCGACATTGAAAAGCAAGGGCTCCAATGTGACATACACTAGCTGCACTTGGCTCATTCTATGCTATGTTCTGTTTGAGCTTTCATGGCCAACTTGTTGCTTGGCTTAGCCTTTCATGGCTCATGCTGGCAGTGGCACTGTAACCTTTGGTGGCATGAGAGCACGTGATGAGTTTGTTGGTCATATGTCACATGTGAGGCCCTTGGCTTGATCAGGATTTCAATCCATTCTGTGCAGGTGATGTTGTGCACCTTGTGCCCTTTGTCTTTTCATCAAGTAAGCATTCATTGCAAACCAACCATATATACTACAGGGTCTTCAAGCTTTTGGTTGCAACTTAAACAGCAAAAAGCTAAATTAACACAATACACTTAACATGCAACAAGCAACATTTACATAAACTTAGAAACATGCTATGGAAAGGCCAGCCAATCTTCAGAGGCTTGAGAACCTCAGGCGAGGGTCACCTTTTGTTAGCCAGTCTGCATTGGAATCCATCTTGGACAATGTGAGAAAAGAAGGTGTTCCAAACCAGAAAGTTGATCAAGAAGGCAACAAAGGCTGCTTTATCTGAGAATACCAGCTATGGATCACTTCTGCTTGGGCAAGAGGCCATCACAAAAGAGGGCGAGAAAGTG